GGAGAAGGATCTCTGTCTTCCTCAGGACTCAGTGGAGGCAGGATAGGAAACATTTCTCTTCCACCATCGTGTTGTGGCTGTTCTTAGGATGTTCCTTTAAGTAAAAGGCAAGCAAAGGAATATTAGGCCCAACCTATCCCATACCATTTTGGTGAGTGCCAGCCTGGAGAAATTCCACAATAGCAATGGCAGTGTGGTAAGTGGGATCCAATTGGTTTCTGTCTTAGCATCATGTGGTTTCTAAATCTTGGAAATCTCCCTCTTCATGGGCTGGAAAAGTGAGCGGAAATGCTGTTGTTACTGTCTTTAGCAAGCCTGTGTTTCATATCTACAGGGGCTTCAGGGGAGGTGAGGCCAACAGGTTGTTAGCATTAATGGGATGCGGGCAGGAAAGCCAGGAAAAGGTGAGCTAGTGTGTGTTTTCTGATTTATAAGTGTGCCTCCAGGTTGTTGGTAACATGCTTCTATGGATAATGTATATTACTGGAAAAACTGGAACCAGGCCTTTAATGAAAGGGTTTCATGGAGCAAATCATTTTGTTGTCTCAGCCTTTGATTTTAAATCAAGCTAGCTGATTTTTTGTTTGCTAATGTCTACTATCACTTGGTGGGGTTGACTAGGTAAACTGATTCTGTTGCTTAGTAACCACAGTTAGCATCAGGAAGGAGAGACTCAAACACAGCAGAGATTCTTCTTCCTGCTGCAGAGAGTACTCTTTTACCAGAAGATGAGCCATAGACTCCATCCCTAATTTGCCCGCTCCATAGCCAGTCAAATACTGCATGCCTAGCCAACAGCATTATGGATTTTTTTTTTTTTAGCCTTGTGCTGGCTTTTATTACCCTGGAATGTGCTCCAAGGTATGAGGATTTTCCACCTCAGAATTTCTCTGGTGGTGGCAAAGGAGCTGTCAATGTTTGAGGCACCCAGCTGGCCTTGAGAGCTGTATCTCAGTTGTTTTGTTGTTTTTTGCTTTTTAATTTTGATTTGTGCTGGTTTCCTTTGGGTCACCAGGACCACAGAGAGAGTAGAGCCTCCTAAGCTCACCAGCCTTAGGCAAGGATATATAACTGCCTAAGAATTGTCAGGATGCAGTAGCCACAAGATTCACTTAGAGCTCTGTCAGCTGGCTTTATCACTCAGGTGCTTAACTTTATGGCATGTAGTGTGAGCTCCTGTATTCAGCGATGGTGGTAATATTTTGAGATTATTTAGAGCTTTGAAGAAAAGTCCCAAACATGCAGGTGTTCTCAAGTGCACTGACATTTTTGTGATGTTATCCATCCCAGACATTGTGGTTTCATTATACGTAAAATGGACATTGGATGGTAATTAATCTGTAAGGGACCCCCTTAGTGGGCCGGGTAAAATAGAGATTTCCGCTAGAGAGCTAGATAAAACAGTTCACCCCATTTTGGGAACAAAGGGAGACTAAGGCACCAAAAATTACAGTTAATGCAATGGATTTAAGTCAAATGCTTGAGCGTAATTAGGCTCATGGACAGTCATGTCTGTTTCTGTCTTCTCAGGTCCTACCAAAGAGGCTCTTCAGCTGTGGAGTTCTGCATGCATTCCTATGGACTCACTTCTAAGAGTACAATTCAAAACTGACCATGGGATCCCAAATTCCCCTGAGCTAAATGATTAAAATATTATTGTTAAATGCTTAGTGATAATACAGATGGTATTGAACAGGGGAGAATGCTCCAACATGGGAACTAGTCCCCAGAGCAGGCTCCAAGATTGGAAACGTTGTAAGTAGCACCAGTCACCTGAGAATCAACCCAAGCAGCGTTCTGGTCTGGCTGAGATCATCTCAAATGTGGAAAGGCAGGATACTGGTATGAAGAGTGTTTGCCAGACAGATGTGTGTTCCATGTCCCAGTGCAAAGATGTTGCCATCAGAGGGGGATGTTCACTTTGGAGAGAGGAGAGAACTTCCACTTTGCCCATAGCCTTGTATCAAGACTGATAGGATTTTCAGATTCAAAAGGCTTCCACAGCCCAGGCATCTGGGTGATCAGTGATGTCATAAAGAGTGTTAATTTGTTAAATTAACAACAGAGGGGTCGTTGTAGCCAACCCCTCAATTAGAATCTGTTGTCAAAGAATATTGTTTGAGTTAATGGTAATCCTTGTTCTCAATAACTTTTAGTTAGTGCATTAAATAGAGGCTATTATATCTAGTTTTAGTTATGTCTGAATGTTCAACTACTTTTCTTGGAAGAGATTTTTTTTATCTCTTAACTGCTTCCATAAAGTTAATTTCTCCTATGTTTAAGCCAATTAATTGTTCCAATGACAACAAGGACTGAGGTACACCCCAGTTTAGATAGCCTGACTTGAATAAAATAGCAAACCTTCAAGTCTGGGTTCAGGGAGTACTGTGGTAGACTACATGTTGTGCCTTCAGAGTTTTCTTAAAAGACTACATACATTGTTTACCCAATACTATGTCAATTAATTCCATAATGTTGTATATTGATACTGAGGCCTTGTTGGGGCTTTTAACTGACCGGATCTTTACTCTGTTAGACCTATCTTCAGACCATAGAAGGTCTCCCCAAGAGGCCACTGAACTTATCTGGACAATAAGACGCTGAACTTTATGCTAGGCATGTGTTTGCAAGCAATGAATCTCAACTGAACTTGAACTATGGTTATGCAACAAGGTGGAGGAATCCACCATAGGGGGAGGGGTATGGGAGGGGTGGGGGGAATCCCCAGCGCCTATAAAACTATACTGCATAATACAATGTAAGCAACAATTAAAAAAAAAAAAAGACTACATACATATTCTCAACATCAGAATCCAGTAAAACCAGAAGCAATATAGCGACTTCAACCCTTGAGTTCTTGGTTTCTTGTCAGTCTCCCTATAATCCTCCCATCTTGCCTGTTTTGAAGCCAAATGGAGAGTACAGAATGGCTCAAGACCTCAGGGCTGTTAATGAGGCAGTCATTTCAATTCATCCTAAAGTGATGAATTTTCTTACCTAGAAGATGTTTTCTTCCGCATCCCATTAAATCCAGAATCTAGAATGAGGATATGCGTTCCCCCAGCAAAGTTCAGATTTCTAAACCAGAGATAAATTTGTCCAGGACACAAGGAAAGTGTGCTCTTTCAGTCAAGAGAAAGGAAGTATATTGTGTTATAGGGCCACTACAGATGGGGAAAAAAAAAGCAAATAAGGACTTTCCTAGGGTTGTCAGGGCTTTCTAGAATATGGATTCTCGGATTTGGGTTAGTAAAAAACTTTTTTGTGAGGCTTTAAAGGGTTCTAATACAGATTCAACATGCTGGACAGGAGAGCTGCAAAAAACCTTCCAAAAATTATTATGCTATTAACAAGCTCCAGCCCTAGGAATCCCTAATATGAATAAACTTTTCATCTTGTTTATAGCAGAGAAATGGGATAGCTTGAGGAGTACTACCTAAGAAATTGGTTTCACTGACCTGTGGCCTATTTGTCTAACAATTAAGATTGAGGAGCTGCGGGGTAGTCAGCATGCTTAGTGGCCTTTGTAGCTAAGCAACATTGGTGGAGGAAGCCACGGAGCTGACTTAAAGACAGCTGCTTGAGGTAAACTTTACATGAGTTTTAGAAATTAAAGGGTATCAGTGATGAACAGTAGAAAGCTTCACAAAATATCAGGCTCATATTTAGATGCACCTGAGCCATTACTGAGAGTGTGCTGGGTCATCAACCCTATGAATCCGTTGCCAACTAAGCGTACTGGAGAGGTATTCCTATAAAAGGAATATTATCAACCTAGCCCACAAAAGACTGACTGTTAGGACTTGGCTACCAATGTACAGATGCTCTTCAACTTAGGATAATTATGTCCTGATGAACTCATCATAAACTGAAACAGCACTTGCCTATGAAAGGATCAAAATTTACGCATAGTTTTTAGTGAGTGCATGTTGCTTGTAACATTGTAAATTTGAAAAATTTGTAAGCAGACCATCATAAATAAGAGATTATCTATATTGGGAGACTGAGAGAAGGATTACACAAAATGTCCTAAAACACTGAAAATTGTGTGTGTATATATGTGTGTGTCTATATAGGCATTATTGTGAAGTACATTTAAGCACTTATTAAAAAGAAATGACAAGTATGATTTTGTACCAAAATAAAGATGTTGCCAGCACTGCAGGTGGAAGCTTAACCTACTAGGCCTTAGCACTGGCTCCCAAAGTGAAGGATGTCATAACAAAATGACTACTGTAACTAATACAAATTCCGGTTTTAAAAGTTGGGGGAGTAGATTGTAAGAAAAATGTGAAAACTGACAAATGCAAATGACACTCCTGTTAACCCTAGAAATAATAAAAGCAGAAGTACAGGTTAATCCTTTAAGATGATTAATAGGTTTTGATCAATTTTTCTGCTTGCCAGCTGGCTTGAACATTAAACCATTTCAAAGTAAATTATATGGTATATAACTAAGCAATAAGTTTTAGGTAGAAAAATAAAGTGGAGTGCAGGATAACAAAAGGGGTCAATTTTCAGTTTTGTTGGGGACGCCATCACTAAGAAAAGGGATGCAAAGCTTCAATAGGAACAGTAAATCACCTGGATAGTTGAAGGGGTACCATTTCAGATAGTTAACATCAAGTGCATAGACCCTGAAACAGCATCAGATCTGACGTGTTTGAGAAACAGAATTTACATAGGTGAATCTGAGAGGGCCCTACAGGAATGTATCATTCTGTAAACATGTAAGTGTTCAGTAGTGGGGAATTGTTACAGTTTTTCTCCCATAGGACATCTTAAAGGACTTGGGTTTAGCTCTAGGTTTCTCAAGAAGTCATTAAATGGTTTCATAAAGTAGAGGGAGTTTCATATGAAATGATGTCCTAATATCTGTTACTAGTAAGGAAACAGTGCCATTAGGTTGCCAAAGTGTACAGACTACCTGGCCAGATTTTGAACAGTTAAAATATATCTGTAAAGTTACCATGATAATGTTAAAATTTTTTTCTTTTTAGATACTAAAATCATTTCCCTTTCTCATCTTGAAACAACCTGGACTGACAGAAGTGATTTCCCTGCACTGCTTGTGAGGATCTTGCGTCAATCAAAACTGCGATACTATGGGAAACCTGATAAAAAGACAATTGAGCCCTACCAGGTACAAGAAATGATCAAATATTACATATTAAAGTTGTAGATTCTAACTTTAAAGACATGACTGCATAATAGAATAACTGTTTAAATAACATTTCAATTTAGCAATTTTAAAATGTGTGTAGGTCTGTATTGCAAGGTATTTGTTATATAACTTATTTTACAAAAAAAGAATTGTTCCTATATTGGTGCGTTTTAGCTAACCCTGATGCACCTGGTCTTTGATATTTTCATCTTTCCTATTCAGGTAGTCTTCTTGAAGTATACCATGCTGCAAGTTTTCATTTTCCTGCCTCCTGTTGACTTCCCAACAGAATCTCAGAATCCGTTTAGCTGGACTCATCATTTGCTAGTAGCCTTCCAATAGTCAAATCTGAGACTGACAACTGTATCACTAGTAAAAAAAAAGAATTTAATTTTAATATTATCTTTCAGTTTAACTTGTCTCAGATAATATATCATATCAAGGGTGAATATATATGCATATGCATAAATATGTGTGTGTGTAACCGATGTGTATGTGTTCCTACATTGTTTTTCTAGACTGTTTTGGAAGTTGCTGACCGTTCCTCATTGTTTTTCTAGACTGTTTTGGAAGTTGCTGACCGTTCAGGCACAGTGTTAGTGATCCTGTGGAATGCCTTGTGTCCTGAGTGGTATAAAAGTTTGCGGGTTGGATTGGTTCTTCTGCTTCAAGATTATTCAGTTAAAAAGAGTTATCAATTCAGGATGCATCCTCTCCCTGTGAATCCACACATCAAATCAATTTCTACAATGGGTTAAGTATTTGATAAATTTAATTGTTTTATTGCTTTTTGTTTATATAAATTTATAAAGGATCATAAAATTACTGAAGATGTTACAGGCTGATAAACCTTTTGTTTCATCTACAATATTTTCAAGCATTTATATATATATATTTTTTTTTTAAAGATTTATTTTTTTATTATGTTTTTATTGGAAAGGCGGATATACAGAGAGGAGAGACAGAGAGGAAGATCTTCTGTCTGATGATTCACTCCCCAAGTGAGCGCAACGGCCGATGCTATGCCAATCTGGAGCCAGGAGCCTCTTCCGGGTCTCCCACGCGGGTGCAGGGTTCCAAAGCTTTGGGCCGTCCCCTACTGCTTTCCCGGGCCACAGCCAGGGAGCTGGAAGGGAAGTGGGGCTTCCGGGATAGAACCGGCACCCATATGGGATCCCGGGCATGCAAGGCAAGGACCTTAACCACTTGCGCCACTGCGCCGGGCCCAAGCATTTATATATTTTACTAAATTTATTTATTTTAAAATATTTGTATTTTTATTGAAAAGGCATATTTACAAAGCAAAAGAGAAACAGGGAAAGATTTTCCATCTGCTGGTTCACTCCCCTAATTCCCCTAATGACCTCAACAACCTGAGCTGGCCCAATCCAAAGCCAGGAGACTGAATCTTCTTCCGGGTGCAGCAGGCCAAGGACTTGGGCCATCCTCTGCTGCTTTACCTGGCACTTTAGCATGGAGCTAGATTAGGAGTGGAGCAGCCAGGACTTCAGTCAACTCCTATGGGATGCTGACAATGCAAGTGGAGGCTTAACCTACTACTCCAGGATGGCTACCCAATAACCAGAGAGCTGGATCAAAAGTGAAACAGCTGGGATATGAACAGGCAGTTATATAGAATTCCGGCGACTTCCAGCAAGAAAATTATCCATTTTGAGTCATCCTGCTGGTCTCAAATCTATGTATCTTTAAGATTTATTTATATTTATTTAAAAGACAGTTAAAGAGAGAAAGGAAACAGAAATCATTCATGCTGTTTCACTGCTCAAATTACCCTGACAACTGGAGGTGGACTGTCTGAAGTTGGGAACCAGGAGGTTCTTCTCACATGGATAGGTACAGGAGACCAATCTCTTGGGCCATCTTCTGCTGCTTCCCCAGGCAACTAACAGGGAGCTGGATCAGAAGTAGAGCAGCTGGGACATGAGCTGGCATACATATGGGATGTCAGCACTGCAGGCGGAGGCTTAATGTGCTATGCCATGGTGCCAGCCCTGGAATCCATTTGTTTATTAAGACAGCTTATAGTAAGGCTGCTTTCAAAAATTCATAGAAAGGCCTGGCACTATGGCTCAGTGGATAAATCTTTGCTTCCCATGTGCCTGGATATGGGTGCCAGTTCAAGTCCCAGCTGCTCTACTTCCCATCCAGCTCCCTGCTTGTGGCCTGGGAAAGCAGTAGAGGACGGTCCAAAGCCTTGGGACCCTGCACCCGTGTGGAAGACCTGGAAGAAGTTCCTGGCTCCTGATTTCAGATAGGCTCAGCTCTTGCTGCTGTGGCCACTTGAGGAGTGAACCAGTGGATGGAATATCATTCTCTCAGTCAATCTGCCTTTCCAATACAAATTTAAAAATTAATGTTTTAAGTGAAAGTTTATAGAGATAGAATTTTAAAATGCATGTTTCAGTAAAAAAAAAATTAAGTCCAGATATAGTTTTATCATAATATGCATTTTCATGAACTGTTTGAGGACCGTTCAAATACTTGAATTTTACTTTTACACCAAATTACATTGTAGTTCAAATTTCTATGAACTTTTGGAAGTACTCACATCTGACAGTGTGGAATTGATGCAAGGATAGAGAAATTGATTGAGTCAGAATAAAGAGCCAACATGTAGCACTAAACATACAGAAGTTCTTTGTATGAGAGATATTCTATATAGATATCATGGTAGGAGGAATTATTTAGGAAGCAATATTGCTATAATTGATTGCATGTATATAAAAGCGCAAGTGATTACTTTAACCTGGGAGCTTTTTTGTGACCAAATAACACAAAATAATATGGTTCAGCTTTGATGGGCATATAGATGAATGTGATGATGACAGGTAAAGGTCATTGATAATGATCTAGTACTTTATTTTAGTGGCAGATTTAAGCATGTACAGTCTGTTATTTGTGTAATTTATGCAAACATAGTCTTTAGTACATATTAGATATTATATTAAAATAGTGTATTTGTTTTTCAGAAATTGGCCTGAATCTTCAAGATCCTCCAACTAATATAATCATCATTCCAGAAAACCAAGTGAAACCTGAATGGAAATTGCCAAAATTAAATTATCAGTTTATCACAAGGTACTATGGTTTATCATAAATGTCTTAAATATAAATTTTTAATGTTAGCTTCTGAAAGATAATGTATTAAAATTGCTCAAAATCTCCCCACAATTATGCTGTAGCAGCTATATAGTTATACATTTTCACAGTCCCAGTTGTAGGGTTACCTTTTTGATGCTTTAAGATATAATATGTGCTTTATTATTTTTTAGATCAGAACTGGATGATATGCCAAAAGATACTATCTGTGATGTTATTGGCCTTTTGGTTTTTGTAGGAAGGGTCCAGCGATCAAAAAAGAAAGGTAAAACCTTAAGTTTGAAAATCGTAAAAAGTATTTCAGTAAGTAATTCTGTGTTCATGTGCATATATAATCATCTGTCTTCATTTATGTTAATATTCTATCCAAATGTAGAAAACTGTGAAGATTTTTGGTCATATCGCTGGATACACCTTGCTGATGGAACTTCAGAGCAGCCATTTATTGTGGAACTCTTTTCTACATCTCAGCCAGAAATCTTTGAAAATATTTATCCAAGTACTTAATTCTTAATATTTTTTATACTTTTGGTTTTAAAGTAGAAGCATTAACTTAAAAGAAAAATAACAGTGAAAGAAGCTGACTTACAGAAGTTGCATGTTATTGAGTTAGCAAATTCAAGCAGTGTGACAGTAGGTTTAGTATTTTCTAAGTCAATATGACATTTGATATCATAGCTATTAATTGTCTGCTTGTTCAAAGAATTAACTTGGGAGTGAAGCTAGTGTTTTAGAAAACAGGTAACTCTTTTAAGCATAACATTTAGAAAATTTAAGCACGAGCAGTACTTTCCCATTTAATCCTTTTGAAAATTGCCTGAGGCCCCTTGATAAATCAGACATTCCTAACATGGCACTTATTGGTAGAGGGATTGCAGCAATTTTAAATTCCGTTTGAATAAGAGATTATTATTAGGTTTGATAGTCTTATACCATACTTCGATAATTTGGCATTGGCATTTCCCCTGGCATTCATTCAGATAAAATACTATTTTTCTGGGCTTGGTATGATGCTTCAATTGGCTAACTCTCCACCTCCAAGTACTGACATACCATATGGGCACTGGTTCAATTCCTGGCTACTCCACTTCCAATGAAGCTCTCTGCTTGTGGCCTATGAAGACCCTGCAACTACATAGGAGACCCAGAAGAAGCTCCTGGCTTCTGGCTTTGGACTGGCTTTGCTCTGGCCATTGAGGCCATTTGGGGAGTGAACCAGCGGATGGAAGATCTTTTCTTTCTCCCATTCTCTCTGTAAATCTACCTTTCCAATGAAAATAAGTGCATCTTTAACATATATATCTATATATAATTTTTATTGTTTTATTTTAAATTACTTTAGGAATATCCCATTATATGTTTCATGAAGCATGCTAGTCTTAAGATTAGCATCAGAAGAAAAGTGCATTTATTTTTCAAGAATTTCAAGAAATGTTTCCTTGCTTGAATTTTGAACATAAAGCTGTTTTAGTATAAATGCTATTTGTCTAAGTAATTACATGAGTTGATAATGATTGTTATCTACACTCAGTGTTTATCAACATGGAGGAGACTCCCAGTATCTACTATATTTATTTTTATCAGAAATAAGATAGAAAATATAGAGTGCCAGAGATCTAGTAGCTATATGCAAAGCTGTCCTTCTGTTCCTTTGGTCTCTGTGCAAAACAGAATTACCCACATGTGCATCATTAGGTTTTGCTCTTTGCTTGTGAGGTTCTCATGTGTCTTTATAAAACTGAACCTCACTCTATGTTTTGTGAAGTGTTACAGAAAGAACATCATGGGTATGCGGTTGCATAAGCGGAAACTGAGCTAACCTGCAGCCAGAAATCTCCTCTGGGTCTCCCATGTGGTTACAGGGACCCAGGAACTTAAACCACTCTCTGCTGCTTTCCGAAGTCATCAGGGAGCTGAATCTGGAGTATAGCAGCTGAGATATGAACTGCTTCGTCTATAGGATGCTGGTGCTTGCTGGTGGACGATTAGGCTGATATGCCACTGTACTGGCCCTGCATTTTTACAATATGTATTTCCACGAACTTTTTGGAGATCCCTCAATCATACACACAACAAAGGCAATTAAAAAATAAGAGAAGTTAATATTATGAGATTAAAATAGGCCAGATGCTTATAGATATTATCAAATTTTGTATTCTCTGTTATCCTTTACAAAATCTTCAAGTCAATATTCAGGAGTTTTAACTTGTGTCCTGGATGTCAAAGAGTTTGAAAACATCATATATAACTCAGATTTTTAGTAGTCAAAAGTTAGCATGAGAAGCATCTTTTAAAAAATTTTATTGAAAGCACAATGTGCTCCCTGCTGTCTTAACAGATTTTAAACATTTGTTTCTTTTTAAAGATTTATTGACTTTGAAAGAGCAACAAGAGAGCAGATGGCTGCACCAGGCAGATCTGGGTCAGGTTGAAGTCAGGACCCAGGAACTCTATCCTGGGCCCCACCTTAGTTGCAGGGGACCAAGTACCTGAACCATCTTCATCTGCCTTCACAGGCCAATTAACAATAAGCTGGGTCAGAAGCTAAGGTCGTTGGGACTAATCAGGCCTCTGATATTGGGTATCCCTGCATTGCAGGTGACTTTCTAATGTGCTGTACCACTATGTTGACTCCTAGAAAATTTTTTAACCATTAATTTTTTAAATTTTTAATCATTAATATGCAGTTGCTTGCAGTATTTCAAATAAAAGCTATACACTTAAAGGTACTTCTTTGCATTCAGATAAGTTTATTCTCATTGCTGCAGAAGACAAAAAACTAGTAAATATAAGATGCAATGAATGTTTTTGGTTATGCTCTAGGGACATTTTTCAGTTTTTAAAAACTATTGTTTTAGGATTTTTTTATTTGATAGGCGTAGTTTGCAGCGAGTGGAAAAGAGGCAGAGTAAGATTTTCCATTCACTGTTTGACTTCACAAATGGCTTCAGTATCTAAGGCGGGGCCAGCTCAAAGCTAGGAGCCAGGAGCTTCTTTCAGATCTCCTACATGGATGGCAGGAGCCTAAATACTGGGGATATCTTCTGCTGCTTGTCCCATGCCATTAGAAGGGAGCTGGATTGAAAGTAGGACAGCCGCAACTTGAAGCAGTGCCCATAGGAGATGATGATATCATAGGCATGAGCATAACCTGTTAAGCCACAACCCTGGCCCTGAGAAATTTTTATTTTAAATTAGAATATACTCTTACGTAATTACAAAAATACATTTTTTTTTTCAATTTCTAGTTTGTAAGACCATAACTTTTGGCAAGTATAACAAGCAAATGAATTTAGTTAGGTGCAACCATTGGTTTTCTAAATGAAAAGCCCCCAGTTAAAAAAGCTAATAATAAAAGCAGGTTTGTAAATAGTAGGTTCTTTTTTACTTCAATAGTACCAATACCAACTAGGATTGTATTGGAGAACAGATTTTTGGGACCAGTGTTATGATGCAGCAAAAGCTACTGTCTGCATCACCAGCACCCCATATGGAGTCCTAGTTACTCCACTGCCAGTGTAACTTCTTTCAGATATACCTGGGAAAGCAGCAGAATGTGGCCTATGTGCTTGGGCCTCTGCCACTAACTTGGAAGATCTGAATAGAGTTCTGGATTCAGCGTTCATCCTGACCAAACCTTAGTCATTGAAGCCATTTGGGGAGTTAAGTAAGAGATAGGAACTACCCTCAAACTCTCCTTCTTTGTCACTTTGCCTTTCAAGTAAATAAACCTTTAAAGAAAAAGAAATGTATATTCTCAGGCATCTCTCCAGACCTACTAAATCTAAATTTTGATCATACTCCTATAAGAATCTGATAAGTATTATAGCTTATTAAGCATGCTTACATCGTGACTTTGATGTGTCCTCATTAAGATGCAAACTTTCAATTGATAAATGTTTCCATTTCCTACAGTGACACATTTTATGTGCACCCAGCTAAAAGTTGTCAGACATGATGCGCAAGTACCTAAGCTGCTTTACCTCACAACTACAAATGAAAGTCGAGTGTTTATTATCGGTAATTTCTTTCTATATACTACATTAAGCATTTAATATATTTTCTCTTCACTGGAACCCTTTAGCACATTTTAATTTTTACATTGTAACACTCAGTGACAAGACAGTTTTATTTTTTACCTCTTTGATTTATAAAACAAGGAAAGTTTTAGCACTTGCCTACAAACACAGTTGACCTTAATATACATGAGGAAAAATTTGGAATGTTTCACAGAATGCTATCACGGTGGCAGTTAATTAAGTTGTCAACAGAAGAGGACAAGCAAAGGTATCACATACTTGGAGGTGTTTGTCGATACTTTATAGATAATCAGGTATAAGTATGGCAGTTTTGGGTATGCTTTAAGAACATGAATTTAAATTCTGAGCAACTTTCACAAGCAGCTTTGTTCATACCCGACACTATGCTTTCCAGTTAATATGTGAACTCAATTTATTCAGAAGATATCAATCATTTATATAGTTACAAAAATGCAGCTTAATAGTTTCTGCTTTTCCTGTGATTTTTAGCATATGATAGGGACAATTTAGCCCTCTTGAGCTCTAATATGTCTGCATTCCTTCTTGGCATTTGTTTACCATCTTTGAGTAAATTACTATACAGCAAATGAGCAAATTGGACTTTTTTTAAACTGCTGATTTAAGAAATTGTTTTAATATTAAAACAGATTTTAAAAGGCTTGTACAGTTTTATTATAGTGATCTCTTTCTTCTTTTGTGTGCTTTATCCTGCTTGCGAGGAGAGCTAAATGATCAGCCCTATACCAACGATATCAAGGTACAAAACTTTATTCAGTGGGTTACCAGAAAGACCGAATCTGGGCAAGTGGAGAATACTGTTATTGGTGGATATTATCCCTATCCACCAGTGCCGGAAACGTTTTCCAAATACAGTAATTTAATTAAAGGTACTGTGTAATTGCTATTTTACACACTATTTCTTTCATCATCGCTTTTCTTTTATAGGAGAGTAGCAACATTCACTGATAATACTTCTGTCCTAATGCAGTTTTAAAACCAAATGTCATGCCTCCTAAAGGTTAATATTTTGACCTTACCAAATTAGATGAAAAGAGAGAACATGGAAGATGACTAACTGAATATCTTGATTTAGTGTCACTGAGCTTGTATGTGACCTTGGTAGATTTCAATTCCTATGATATTGCATAGAAAGTCTAAAGATACCTAAAATAAACATTGAGTAATTGGATGTTTGAAATATGTTATATAAATTATACCCAAAGTCAAATACCTGTTGAAGATGAAGATTCAACTGGAAATGTGTATCATAATTTAATTGATAAATGTTTTATGTTAATTTTATAAAAATTCATAAGGGGGTGCTATATAACCATACAGAATTTCTTGTATTTAAGTTAGTGTGGCAATTGTATAATTTCTTGTTGGGAAATTATTTTGCAAATCCAGTTTTATTTGTGTCATTTCAGTTCTTTAAAACTTACAATTTCCTCACAATTACTCTTTTACAGCTCATTCGTTCTTGACACCTGTGAGTGAAGTGAAGAAGGAGATTGAAGTCTTACAGTACAGGGAACAAAAACGAATTGCAATTCAGGGGATTATTACTGTTATAAAATATATTCCCCATAGCAGTGCAGTGAAAAGTGCCTCAGCATCAGAAACACTTTGGGTATGGTGCCAGAGAATTGATTATATGTCTCTGAAAGCACTCTGATCATGGCTGTAATTGATAACTAGGACATTTTATTTAGGACTCACATATGACATAAACCTCAGAACTCATTAATGATATAAGCCTTTCAGAAAGACTTCATTTCAGTTTTTTTTTTCCTTTTTCAGTGATTTATTTTGGGGCAACCTGAACTAACAGTCACAGCTCCTGATTGATCAAAAATTTCAAAACGTATCATGTTTGCTATGTGTATAAAGTGAGACTATCAGGGGCTGTACATGACTGCATGGTTTCCGTACCTTTTGTCTATGCCAGGACTATAAAAAAGCTTCCACAGTAAAATTTTACCTCTGTGGTAGTCTTTCCCAGGAATTACAAAGAGATACCAGTGTATCTCAAAGGCTAAATGGTTTATCAGAGAGGTCAGTTCTGAAGTATAGATACAGTCAGGACAAATGAGTTTTGTTTTCCCATGAGCTTTTCTTTTTTAAAAGCTGTGTCTAGAATTATTCTTCATATGGAAATAAGCATTTAATGCAACATTTTAGTTTATAGCTGTAGGAAAGAGTTTTATTTTTCCTTTTTGAAATATTTAATCAATGTTTTAGATTATCATCTTTATAAAAACACTATTATGATTTTCCCACAACTCTTCAGATAATGCAAAAAGGGTAAACTAAAATTGCAGTCTTGTAAAACAGAAATATTTTTGTGGATTAGTTTAAAATGCTTTCTCTAAATTACTGGTTTTAGAACGCTAACAGATCCTCAGCATCCCCAGCAGCTAGAGAAGAAACTGAAAGTCAGGAAGGAAACAGGAAATGTTATCAATATGACAGACCTGTGAGTGCACAGTGTATTCAAACAATATCTTCAAGTTTCAGCCCAAGCCATAAAAGAAGAATTCTTCAAGGCCCATGTGCTAAACCGTAAGTCATTTGTGTCATGCATGTGCAAGGCACTTTTGTTCTCTTGGTGTATTTCCATCATATAAAGAAGTACTTATGGTAGTAGAAGTTGTATTAATATAATAAGGAATGACATAACAAAGTATCACACCTGGATGTCTTAAAAACAAATTTATGGGAGGGTGGGAGTTTGAGGGGTGGGAATCCCAGTCTATACAAAATTGTACCACAAAATTCAAAATAAAAATTTAACAACAACAAAACAAAACAAAACAAAAAACACAAATTTATGGTAAACCAGTTCTGGATGCTAGACTCAGAGAACCAGGTGTTGATAGGGTTGGATCCTTTTGAGGATTCTGAGGAAGTATCTGTTTTCTGCTTTTACCTTAGATTCTGTTGGTTTGCTGTCAATCTTTGTCCTTCCTTAACTTATAGAAGGATTATCCCAATCTGTCTTCATCTTCACTTGGAGTTCTCTCTGTGTCCCTCTCTGTATGCAGATTTTCCACTTTGGATAAGAACACTAGTCATTCTCCCCTATGTCCTTTTTATTTTTAAGATTTATTTTTTTTGTTGGAGGGCAGATCAGATTTACAGAGGACAGCTCAAGTCCTCAAGCACCCACATGGGAGACCCAGAAAAGTTCATGGCTTATGATCGGCTCAGCTCTAGGTCTTTCTGTTTCTCCTTTCTGAACGCTGCCTTTCAAATGACAATAAATATTTTTAAAAATTTACACATGAATTTTAAATATTTCAATATATATAATTTAACTTGTATAGTTAGATTCTTTTTAAAGCTAATTTTCTCTTATTTCTGTAACGAACTCAGGATAAAGAATAATGTATGGGGGCCAGCGCCAGGATGTAGTAGGCTAAGCCTCTGCTTGCAGCACTGGCATCCCATATTTTTAAAAAAGGATAATATTATAAAACATATATCTATTAAATTGAGTGCTATTATGTCGCATTATGTAATATAAAAGTATTTGTAATGTATAAAATATGTAGTATAAAAATTTTATGTAATATGAAAGTAAATTGAGCATTATTTTGTGTCATTAACTAATATGGCATTTCAGTTTTATTTTATGCCTTTGGGTTTGGAAATACAATAAAAGAATATTTATCCCAACGATGTAGAGAAAGCCCATAATATATAAAGTTTCCTTTCTAAAACTGTGATTCTAGTTGATGTCCAAATAAGATTAATTTTCTTTACTTCATTCATTACTGAACCACTATCAGGTAGAAACAGAAAAACAAACTAAAGTCTACACTTGTAGAGATGAACATTTAAACCTCTAATTTCACTATATTGAGATTAATGGTATTACAGAACTTACAATGCTACAACAGAATGTACAAGAAGTTAACATTGGGTAGAGATCATTGGTGAACTCTTGTGGGTATATAACCCAAGAGTTAAATTGTGAGGAATGAGTAAGAGTTAGACCCATAAGGATAAAATAGCATCAGGTTTTTCCAGAAAGAAAGAAAGACATAAAGATTTGAAGCATACATCTTATTTTTGAAAAAATTATGGTTTGAGACTAAAGGTAGAGGTAAGATTTTCTACAGAATGCTTGAAAATAAAAACACGTGGCCGTTTTACTAGTTTGTAAATTCCATTTAAAGAGAATGAAATATTTCCATCCTTTATAAACATTCAGTGTAGTTAAATTCTCTCTATTATAGAATACTTAAAAGAAAATTAGATGTTATGGTGTTTAAATTATATCATGTGTAGAAATTTTTTCCTATGAGTACATTTTTTTTTTTTTAAGAAAAGACTGATTTATTTTCCTTGGAAAGGCAGATTTACAGAGAGAAGGAGAGACAGAAAAATCTTCCATCTGCTGGTTCACTGCCCAAGTGGCTGTACCAGTCAGAACTGAGCTAATCTGAAGCCAGGAGCCAGGAACTTCTTCCAGGTCTCCCACATGGGTGCAGGGTCCCAAGGCTTTGGGCCATCCTCCACTGCTTTCCCAGGCCACAAGCAGGGAGCTGGATGGAAAGTGGAGCAGCTGGGACATGAACCAGCACCCGTATGGGATCCCAGCACATGCAAAGTGAGGACTTTTACCACTAGGCTACCACACCGGGCCCCACGAGTTCATTTTTAATGTGTTACTTTTAAGATTGTTAATGTGTATTTTATAAACATATACATGTCTGAGGCAGGCATTAGACATGGTGAATGTGGGTAAGAGACCACTTGATTCACCAATGTGGCAATGTCAGAATGCATCAGTATGTGTCCAAGCTCCACTGCCATGATTCTGTCTTCTTGTGTATGCTGAAAGGCAGCACTTGAGCATTCTAGACATGTTTGGAGTTTCTGGATCCCAACTTTGGCTGTTGCAGGCATTTGGGAAGTGAATCAATGGATGGCAGATATTTCTGTGTGTGTCTATCCGTCTTCCTTTTTAATAAGTATGAAGAAGGAGTAAATACTGATTAGAACTAGTTCAGTTTTTTTTATTAAAGTTCTTTTAACTGTTGGTTCTTTTATCCTTTGTAGATTTGCTGTTCCTCAGACAGAAGCTTCTACACAGATTTCCGGAGATAGACTTGACATGCCTAGCATCTTCCAATGTATGTTATTATGTATTATAATTTCTAAAAAAAAAAAAAAAGTATTGCATATGCTCATTGCAGAATTCCGTTGCTTCTGCCTTTGTGTCTCTTATCTGCTAACAGTGTAATATACATGCTTTAGATTGATATATCGTGCTATTTTCATTTGTATTAGTTTCCATCATTGTCAGGACTTACTTACAGATCATTTGGTATTAACCCAGAAGTTAAAGAAACTAAAAATATACTTTTTGCTTGTTAATAGCACATCCTTTCAAATGCACTAGGTTTGTTCAACACGTGAATATATAATGTAATTTAGTTCTATTAAGATGTTCTTAGGACTATATCGTTTTAATCACATCTTTTAAGGGATCATCACTCTAAAGTAAAGTTTCGCCACCTTAGCACACACTTACTTTTGGTGTTATTCTTAGTTTATTCTCTATCTAAAGAAAAGTGATATTGTCATTTTATGTCATACTAATTTAATGCCTCAAAGAATCTGTAAGTATTTTTGTGTGATTTTTGTTGATTGCTGCATGATATGTAATTGACATTTTGAATAATTGTGTTCTGAAAATGAACTGTTCTATGACTAAGGCCAAACATGTTATCCAATAATTACAGTGATAATTTTAGATCATTGCATAAAATAATATGCTTGCGACTGTTCCTGAAGGAGTATACTATTATAATAATATGGGGGAAAATGCAAAATAGTGTGGGTGGAATGGAGAAAGAGGAAGGGGAGAATCCCTGCACAAAACTGTATCATGGAAAAATAATAATGACAAGAAAAATAACTAAAAGAGTATAATCTTGGGACTCATAAATTTTTTTTTTTTTACTCTTTAGGTATGATTTGAAAGTAAAAAAGGAATGGTTTTTATAAAAGCAATCTTTCTGGAATCATCAGTTGTAAAAATTAAGGGAAAAATCAAGATTGTTTTCAGTTTTATGTTTATCTGCAGACGACCTAATAAATATCTAAATATCAGTTCTTCCATTTATCACTTAGGGCATAAAACTTCATAGATATTTTATATTAACACCTGCTTTAATTATCCCTTCAGTTTCACCTACAAAAAATAATATGCTATGTCCTGTGTTTATATTATGATAGTGCCAGCCACTTACTGAACATTTATGTGCCAGGTACCTTACTGAGCTTATGTGTACATTTTATTTATCTACAGGGAGTGATTATTTGAAGTCAGTCTAACCTTTTCCCTCTTGTTCCATACTGTTTGGTGGGAACATTTGTGTAGCTGTCAAGCTATATCTCCCTTGCTAACCAAAATGAAAGAGTAGTAAATTCAAGAACAACCTGTTAGACCTATTGCTGACATTTATTTATCTGACCTATGGCAGACATTTATTGCTGTTTGTTCATTTTTTAAGTATGTATTTATTTGAAAGTCAGAGTTACAGAAAGAAGGGGAGACACAGGGAGAGCTTTTCTTTTAACACACACCTCTGGAGGCAGTAGGAATGAGTCCCTGTTTCCTCAGTGGGAGGCCTGAGTAGAACTCCTGGCTCTGAGCTTTTCTGTGTGTCCCCACCCCTAAGCCATTGGAGGCATTTAGAAAATGAAGCAGTAGGTAGGCTTATGCTGTCTCTCTGAGCATGTGTATGTACGTGCTCTGCTTCGCAATTAATTGAATGAAGTATTAAGAGCCATAAATTATAAGGAATTCAAAAAGTCTACCTAATAGTCATAGAGTTCAGTTAAGTAATGGGCAAAGGATCTGAATAGATATTTCTCAAAATAAGAAACAAAAATGGCCAACAAATATGTATTTGAAAAAAAGACGCCCCAAACAGGAAGTGCAAAACAAAATTACAATGAGATAGAACTTCACTCAAATTTAGAATGGCTGTTATGTAAAAGCTAAACAAGTAACAATTATTGGCAAGAATGTGGAAAGGAAAGCTCTTACACACCGTTCATGGCAATGTAAGTTAGTACTGCACATGAGGCTTTTTTTTTAAGCTCGTGAAAAATCCATATTATCAAAAAACTACTCATGAACTTCAAAACACTTTGCATCCAAATATGGGACAGGTATTTGGTGTAGTACTTAACATACTACTTGGGATACCCCAAATGGAACAACCTGGGTTCAAGTCCCACCTCTGCACACAGTTCTAGTTTAAAAAATTTTTATACTAAAATAAACTTAATTTAGTTCTATTTTCCCTCATATAATAGAAAGTATCTCTAACATTGCATATTTGAAATAATTAATACACTATGGTTTAATTGGCACTTGATATTTTTATTAGTGATATATAAAATGTTTTGTAACTAATACAAATCCCAGCTGCTCCCCATCCAATCCAGCTCCCTGTTAATGCACCTAGAAAACTAGCAGAATTTGGTCCAAGTCCTAGGATCCTTGCCCCAGTGTGAGAGTCTTGAGATGAAGGTTCTGACCCCTGACGTCAGCCTGGCCCATTTAGGGAGTGATCCCAAAGATGAAAATCTCTGTCTCCCATACTCCCGTGTAATTATTCTGCATTTAAAACAAATAAAATAGAAAGCCTAAATGTACATATATAGGAATCTTGATTGGAATATATATATCTTTTGAGAATGGAAGAAATAGGAGAATGTGAGCAAGAACAGTAAAAAGAGTAAAACCTTATCTTTAATGTTGTATTTACTTGATTTAAAAATATGTGAGCAGAGCAAAATACAAGCAATGGAAGAAATTTAAACAGTATTTGAGAATATTTAATATTTAGTGATAGATGTCTGGCCTAATAGTTAAAATCCCCACATGCCATATCAATCTGCCTGGGTTGGAATCCCTGCTGTACTTCCAATTCTAGTTTCCCTCTAATGCAAACCTGGAGTTTGCAGGTATTTGGATCCCTGCTACCCACATGGGAGACTCAGGTTGATTGCTTAGCTCTTGATGTTGTGGTCATTTGAAGAGTGAACAAGCAGATATGTTAGAGCACTCTCTTCCCACCCCCTTCTCCTTGTCTGTCTTGCTGTGTCTATCCCTCTGCCTCTCAAATAAATATAAATAAATAAAATTTATTGTTGATAATTATAAATTTAGCTATCACGCTATTTCCCTTTTACACATTTAGTATTTATTTGAAAGGCAGAGTGACAGGAAGAGACAGAGAATGAGGGGAGATGGACCATCTGTCTTGTGGCTCATTCTCCAGATGACTACATTAAGGTCTGGGACAGGCTGCAGATACATATTGAAGTATTTAGAGATGAAATAGTATGTAAATGTAAACATGTGTAATTCTGATTGGTGAATGTACTGGTACTTACTCTGCTGTTGTCTGTTTCCATAAATTTTCTTTCCTTTCCTTAATCTTATTATATATATAAGCCATCTTCTGCCATAAGCCAAGGGCTAGAAGAGATCAGCATAATGGTCATGATCTGATGTAAGTAAAGGTTAGCTCAAGGTCCAAGATACTTTCTATACTAGTTAAAACATCTTTAAACCACTTATAGTACCTGACACAATGTACACTATATAACTAGTTGTTGTGTATTGTGTAAAATGGTGACAAGAATTAAAATTACAGTTATAATTAGTTTTTCCAAAATTTTCAGTCTAGTGTTGATTGAATATACAAATGAGGAACCCACAGATACAGATGGTTACCATGGGGATTCAATTTAACATCCTGATATTGTAACATTGTAATTTGAACTTCTGACAACTTGAATAACATCCATAACTTGTTCCTACATGGTTCTTAGATATTCTTATTATCACAGATTGTATCCATATACTTTGTGTGTTGTATTACATAATTCATAATTATATGCATATTTGGGTGTTCTACATCTCTCACATAAAAAGTTAAAAGCTAAGAGTACAATAATGATAGCTCTTTTGCCCATGATTTTATCTTTATAAGATATCTATTTCTCCATCATATTTCTCCATCCTATAGCTTCAGTTTACTAACTAGCTTTCATTTCAAGCTGTAACATTCTTCTAACATTTCTTGTTTGTTAGGACTAATGCTATCAAACTCATTCTATTTCAGTTTATCGTCAGATCTTTTTTTTCCTGATTTAATAATGATAGTTTTACTGTGTATCGAATTTTTGTTTGACAGAATTTTTCCCAGTCCGAAGCTGGGAGCTTCTAAATATGCCATCTCACTGCCTTCTGGTTCCATGGTTTTTAATGAGAACTATATTAAATTCATTGAGGCTGCCTTGTAGTTGAGAAGCGACTTCTATTGGTGCCTTCTTTGTTCTTTTTCATGTTCATTTTTTAAAATTTGATTATAATCTGTCTCATGAATTTCTGAGTTTATCCTCTTGGAGTTCACTGAAATGTTTAGATGTATAGATTTGTATCTTTCTTCAACTTTTGAAGGTTTGAGGTTATCATTTAAATATTTTTTTTCTATTTTTCCATAAATGTGAATTTATCACAACAAATTCCTAGACTCTTCTTCTTTTTTTTTTTTTTTCATTTTTTTTCTGCTGCTGAGACTGGATGGCTTCAATTGACCTTCAAATTATTTTGCCTGTTTATTTCTTATCATTGATGTTCATTTTCGTTATTGAACTTCTCAGTTCTAGATTTTGTGTTTGCTTCCTTTTTATAATGTTTTTCACTACTAATATGACTGATATTAGTGATATTCTAATTTTTACTCATACATTTTCTTGGGGTTTATAGGTTTTCAACTACCTTAACATAAAACATTTTTAAGAGTCTGTTTCTGTCAGAGTATTTTGCCTTTGAGTGATATGTGTTTCCCTGTTTCTTTGTATGCCTCTGATTTCGTGCTGAATGTCAGACATTAGATAATTTAATTTTAACTGTGTAAATCATATTCTTTCCCATCTAAAGGTTTTGAGATTTTTTATTATTTTTAAAATCTGTCATAACCCATCTGTATTGTGACTTCTTAAGCTTCCTAATTATTTTCCAGAAACTGTTTTTTTTTGAAAAAAGATTTTTTTTATTGGAAAGGCAGATTTACATGAGAAAGAGAAACAGGGAGATAGATCT